TATGTTCAGCACCTAAAAAAATATATAATTATATATTTGTTAAACAAATTTATTAATTATTAAAGCTTAGATATGCTTTGGACACTTGTGGACACTTGGACACTTGGACGTTGGACAGTGTCAAAAAAGCCTTTGAATAGTCAAAATGTACATCACTGGTTTAAGGGATAATACTTTGTGTAATTACCAATTTGCAGATCTTTGTTTGAGTCAATTTTAATAATTTAACTAGCTAATATGTCATCTTTCAGTACCCACGTGCTATAAAAATTTATTATAATTAGATCTCTGATTTCCAGCTTCAGCATCAGCCATGACATATATTAATTTTTATAGAAAAACATGTGATTATCAATAAAGCAAGTGAATTTCTAGTAAAACTTATATATATATTATTCTTTAAATTTAAATAGAAATCTTAATTTAATTATTATTATTCTTGCTAGAGATACTATATAATACTTTTAAGGTATATTATTAACTAAGCAATATTACTTATATTTCTTTAATTATTACTTGTAAAATGAAATCTCTATAGATGTCGAAGTAAAATTTTAAATTCATTCGAATTTTGAAACTAGGATTAATAAATTTGTAACCACGGTTATTGTAACCGTAATTAAGTAGTTAATTGTGTATAACATAGCAATTAATTATGTAACTTGTGTTACATTTATGTATAATATTATATGATATAATTTAAACTGATCGTATTTCTCATATAGTCAAACTGATTAAAACCGGTTCTAAATAAAACCGATTCCAACACTATGTAGAAAATCAAAATCTGATGTAAGTCTGAAATGAATATGTATAGTTGCACTGACTGTAGATCATCACGGGTCCCATCAAATCTCAATTTTTATTGGTTGTATCTGACTAATATTGCATGAATATACATTTAAGTTTATAGAGTCCTCCTATGCTTCGGACAACTAGCTTTCGATAAACAATAGCCATATTTGGTATTATAAACATAGATTATGTAGTACTACAAACAAAGCGAAAAACTAGACTTCCTTTTTTAGCAAGATTGCATATTTATTATTCAAAGCCAAGACATATACAGGGTAAGCATAGTTCTTTTATTGTTTATATGTTGCATTATGTTTAATTCTTAACTTTAATATTTGAATCTAAATGATTATTATGTATAGATAATTCAACCTGGTTGCAAGAAACTAAATTTGGTTAATATATAGCGATAGTACACAACACAAAAACTAAGAACTTTAAAGCTAAGTATTGATTAGTTAGTAAAAATAACACAAATTATTAATGCAATTAACCATCGATTAGCCATTCTAAGTCTATATTGATATATGTATAATTACTAACCTTATAAATAATCACTAACCTTATTGTTATATATGTTAAAGATCTATGGTGCAAGTTTTAGCATAGTGATTAGGCTGCTTATAGCGAGAACAAAAACACATGGCTTTGTCTTTCTTGGTATTTGATTGAATATTTTTTGTTTCAAGAAAACTTTTAATACACTTAACTCTTGGTGCTCCTTTTCTTTTTTTAATTATCAGATTTTTATAGAAGATATATCAAATAGTGCGATATTTTCTTGATCATCTAAATCACTTAATTCATTATCTTGAATTTCACTTAAAACAGTATTAGCGACAGAATATTGTCGAATAAAATTATCTAGAAACTTATTAAGTGTTTCCATTGCAGCAGAGCTAGCATCCAATCCAACAGCCATAGCTTTTTTACAGAGACCATTAGTAACTCCATATGCATGACGATTGTTAAGTGTTTTTGATATATCAAAAGCAATACTAGAATCCGGATACATAAGAGTTAAATCTAATATGAAGTTTGAAGTTGAAGTAGCACTTCTATTTTTATAAGTAATTGATGGTTGAGATATTAATGACTCATCTGATTTTGAATAATGTTTGTCTGAATACTAACGTCATGAAATCATAAAAATATGAAAAGCTGCAATTTAAGAAACTGCCATAATTTTTGCAAAATGATGGCAAAAAAGATCCCAATTAATAAGTCTTATGCATGTACAAATATAGTTACCATTGTTGAGTATAATAACATAATTTTTATGAGATGCCTGATAACGAGTAGTTTCCCAAATTTCTTGAATAGATAAAGTAGATAGACTTGAAATAATTTCATTAACATTTGTTGCTGAAAAATCGTCAAGATTTTCATAAAAATCAATCTCACTTTTTTCTTGTAACAAACTAATATTAATGCTTTCTTTAGAAACCAATATTGCACTGTACCAAAGAGCTTCTGCTATTTCAGTTCTTTGTAATGATAAAACAGGTGGTGTTAAAAATTCTGCAAGCCATTTGTCAACTTCAGGCAATAATTGAGCTGACGCAGTTATATGAGTAGGTTTAGCATAAGCTGAGGACCAATTATTATATTGAATATACATCGATTCTTGAGCAAGTTGAGAATCTAAAACTTTAACAAGTTTGGATAAACTAGTTTTACTTGTTATATCAGATTTAATAATTGCATTGATTCCTTCTACTCTTTGTGTAGACTGAACTTCAGCAGTAAATTTATCTGAAATCTAAGCTAATGCTCATCGTTCTTTTGTACTATAAAGCATCTGTTCAAGGTAAGGTTTTGTTGTTGGATATTTATTAATAAGTAATCTCCATTTAGATTCAAAATCTTGTTTGGACAAACTATTATGCATCTTGTACCAGTCTTTTATAAACTTGTTCCAATTTGATCCGAGTTTACTTTTCAGATTTTTGGGGAGATTCTGACTAATATGATATATACAATTCATTCGATAGGTTTCAGGCATTATGTTTTCAATGGCAGCTTCATTTGCAAGATCTGAATTAGTAATAAGAACACATGGTTGACAGCCGGTAGATTCCAAAAGCTTAGAAAGAACCCATTCAAAGCTTGTAGTAGTTTTGTTATTCATTAATGCTTGAGCAACAAGACGGCTTCTGTTATAATTGTCTATACACACAAAGAGACTAAGCATCATATTGAAATGATTTGTACTATATGTGTTGTCATTCATAATGACATTGTGATAGCGAATTCATATTTCAACTTGGCTAGGTTCCATCTAGAAAAGTAATTTCAGTGAATTAGAAATAGGATCTAATTGCCAATGAACAGCCCAACTTGAGTCTTGTGATTTGTTATTAAGAAGCATTTCCAGAAGAGCAGAGGCTTCATCAACAACTTTATCATGCTTTTTAAAAGACTATATTGTAGTTAACAAATCTTTTGGTAAAAAAAGGATATCAGAATATTTGTCTTCAAGTAAAGAAAGCTGAGTTCACATATTTAACCTCTTTAAAGTATAATACTTAATCTCTTGTTTTACTTCATCAGGAAATTGCCAATAGTAGGAAGCAAAATTAATAGTATCAGGATGGATTTCATGATTAAAATACTTAAAGTTATAAGAAGTAATTTTAATTTTTTTAGTTGTTTTCGGACAAGTTGTATTGACTACCCATTTGCACCCTAACTGCTTTGTGTGAGATTGTTTTTGATTTTCTAGGATAGCTGTCTTCTTTGAATAACTTATGCCTTGGTGTTCACAAGCATATCAATATCTTCTATGAGTAATTTCATCAGACTTGAAACAAGTAATAATTGACACAAAGCCATTTTGCTTTGCATACATTCTAATATAACAATCAAGCTGTTCCCAATTTTGAAATAATAAGCCAGAGACAATTTCAAGCTTTTCTTGATCTTCAAATTCAACGTTTTGCTGTTTATTTTCTTGATCTTCAAATTCAATATTTTGCTGTTCATTTTTTGATCTTCAAATTCAACGTTTTGCTGTTCATTTTCTTGATCTTCAAATTTAACATTTTGCTGTTCATTTATGTCAAATATATCATAATTAATGAATCTATTGTCTACATTATTAGTGTTCGACATATTAAATTCAGATGAAACACATTTTTGTTGTATAGAGCAGATAGAAGAAACTTGTAAATTAGAAGGTGGTAATATTTCATCACTTAATATGGGCTGTGAACTTTGTTCAATAGGGTATACAGAAAGAACTTGTGAATCAAAGGCTGGTAATATTTCATCACTCAACATAGGCTGTGAACTATCATTAGGATGTACGGAAAGAACTTGTGAACCAAAAACTGATAATATTTCGTCACTCACATAGGCTGTGAACCTTGTTCATTAGGACATACAGAAAAAACTTGTGAGCTAGAAGCTGTTAATATCTCATAACTTAATATATACTGTAAATTTTGTTATATTGGGTATATGAAAGGAACTTGTGAACTGAAAGATGATAATATCTCATTACTTAACGTAGGGTGTGAACTTAGTTGTATAGAGCATATAAAAAGAACTTGTGGATAGAAAGCTGCTACCCTCTTATCACTCAACATAGGCTAAAAATATAGTAAGAGGTATTTAGTAATAGTTTAACCTTTTAGTAGAGCACATTCTTCTTCATCAAAAACTGTTCAACTTACAATTTTCTTCTTGAATACTTATGAATGACTTATGAACATGATGAAGCTAATATATTACAACCTAGTATGAATTTTAGGTTTTTGTAATAAGTTTTTGATTGAGGTATTTATACTTTATTTGTAGTTTACTTCATGAAAACTTGATAGGCCATTAAAACTGACGTATTATATATTATATAGCAACAAAAAGACTGTCATAATTTTCTTGGACTTCAATACAAACTATTGAGATTTTTGGGCAAAGTATATATCAACGATTTTATTCTATTAATACTTTCGCTTGTTGCAGTAAAAAGAACTAAGATACAGTTTATTTTCTTTTTATATATATGTATATTTCTGATTACATCATTGATGTCATATACATATATACTACTATATACTTCGCTATTATCAATTTTTACGGTTACAAAATTTATCTGTAACCTATGGTTACAAATTAATTAATTCTTGAAACTAAAGTTATTCTAAATTTATTTAGTGCATATTAAATTTAATTTTAAGAAGTAAGTTATATAGATTTGCTATTTCTTTTTCTTGTAAATAATATAAAGTAACAGCTATATGCTGGCATATACTAGCTATACTTGCTGGCAAAACCCGGACAAATTCCAAATAATAAAAAAACAATTGCTATCTATAAAAAATCAAATCAAATAAATAATCTTAATATTTTGCAAATATATTATTTATAACTATAAGAATATATACAATTTGTTTAAATAAAGATTATTAATAAAGTTTTTGAGATATTGGTGTTGCTAGAATTTGGGATTTGGGATTTGGGATGGCGGACAAATCCCAAACTATAGTAAGTCGGGATTTTGCCAACATGTATAATACTAGCTTTATATTATTAGAATTTAAAACTATATATAGCTGTTGACAGCCTGATTATTAGTACTACTTCCTCTAGTTATATCTTAGAATATTTCTAAGTTTTAGTAGCTAGTAATTCTTATACAGAGCAAATAATTTTTGTTATACCTGGCTAATACAAAAAGGACAATAGGTGCCAGCCTCAATTTTGATCTATTGCTAGATTCTTATGGTATCTTAGAGGCTATATACTTATTTATTTTATTAGTATTAGGATTATATATTTTATTAGATTTTTATTTTTAACGACATTTAGATCTAGTGATAAAATCTAGAACTATAATACTATAACTTTCTTAAAACAAACAAAACTTCTAACTTTATTATAATCAAAAATAATTCTTACAACTCTTAAAACCTTCTACCTTTACTATTTCCCTCTATTCGATTATTACTCAAATCAAATATTGGCCAATTTACCCAATCTTCATCATCAAAATCTAAATCTAAAATCTCTTCTTCTTTGACAACTTTTCTTTCTCCCTTATTTTTTGATCTAAAATTATTAAATTACAATATTATTATTATTATTATTATTATTATTATTATTCTGCAGTCACTGCTTCTGAAATAATGATGTCCTTCACTTTTAGTAGACCTTTCTCAGAAGAGAATGATGTAAGTGGATGGGTAGTTAAGTCTATTTACATAGAAGACCAAGTTAATGACAGTTAGACCAAATGTATATAGCAGACTATAGAACCCTTCACAGCTGTGAAAACCAAGCTTAAAATGGTGAGCATACCTACAGAAAGACATTTACCCAAATCATTACCAACATCATCCAACACCTATAATTTAGAAATATGCTATAACAAATTTCTTATTTATTATCAACTTCTTTTATTAGGAGAACCACAAACTATTAATTCTTTTTTACAATATTTATGACAAAACAATGTTGACTATTTAGCAGATTATGCTTTAATACAGTTCACAGTAATAAAAGTGAAGCATATGTATACTTACTACATAAACACAATATACTACCAAACCACTATACTTTATCTACTAATGATTCGTATGATATTCCTCTTAAATCACAATCCAACACATCTATTTTTACATCTTCCTATTTTCCATCAGCATCAAGCTCTTCTCTTACTTCTTTCTCTTGCTTTAATACTTCTTATACTACACAAAATCAAACTAACAATTCTATCTTCAACTCTCTAACTAATTTAACAATCAAAAATACTTTAATTTCTATCAAAATTGGCTCACTAAATATTAATGGTTTATCACAAGCTAACAAAAACTGTTCTTACTTAAAATATAATGAAACATTTGATATATTTGAACTCTCTGAAACTCATCTTTCAAAACAAGAAACAAAACATACCAATTTACTCACTAATAAATATTCTAGTTTTTGAAGCTCTTATACCAACTCTTATCAAGCTGGAATTGAAATTTTTATTTATAAAAAAATTTCTAAATACATTGTATGCTCTTATAACTATAATGGTTATATTATAGGTCTTGATTTACTTTTTTTTTTTTTTTTATACCGATGATGTAACCATCTTCGGGCGCGTGTGGCGCTCTTTTATTTATGAAATTATTTTACATTTATATACATTGTAAATATTTACATATAGAGTTTATCTGTGGATTGCTA